GAGAAATTAACATTAAAAAAAGTAGTTAATATGATTAATTTTAATTAATTCTATTTTTATTTAAATTTTATTTTAAATAATATCATTTACTCAGTAATTATTATATTTAATGTTAATTATAAGTAAATGTAAAAAAAATATAATTAACAATAAATTAAAAGTATAAAAAAAATTAACTCGGAGTAATTTTAAAACTAGAGGTAATATTTATTTTTATTTTTTATTATAAATTTAAGTATTTTTTTATATATATAAAAATGTCTTATTTCTAATAGGTTTGTGGCTTTTCTTGCATCAAACATTTTATAATTGATATTTTATTTTTAAATATTACTACATTAGGACCTAATTACAAGGAACATAGTATAAATCATTAAAATTAAAAAGGTAATTAATATAATTATTTTTAATTAATTTTATCATAAATTCAAATTTTATTTTAAATATATCATTTATTTTAAATAATTTTTATATTAGAGTTAACAATAAATAAAGAATATAAAAAAATTTAACCTTTAAATAACTTTAAAATTAATTATTATTGATTATAATTAGGATCAAATGTAGTATAAATTATTCCCTCCAATTCTTAGTATAAATAATTTTTAACCAAATCACACAAATCAAAATAAGTAGTTATATCTATCGGCGATAAATACTTTAGGGACGAACAAAAAAAAAAGTAGTTATGTTAATTAATTCTATTGGGTTTATAAAATAAAATCATGATTTATCAATTTTTATCATTGTTATTTATCATTAAAAAAAATTAAATAAAGACATTACCCCACATCAAAATTTATGCACCAATACCAACAAAAATGATAAATGATAATTGGAAAGTGTTTAAGAAGTGGGAGAAAAAAAAATACATTCTCACAAGTTTTAATAGGACAAATAAAGAAAAAATAATTTAATATTTTCTAGAAACTATAATATATCTTATAAAAAGGATTAAAAATTTATTCTAAACTATGGTTTATAATAAAGATTGGAGGAAGTAGTATTTTAATATGTGCAATACACATGTTAAATATTTATTATATATAATTAAAATTTATAATAAACTTTATATATATTATATTTGAATATAAAAATTACATTTTAAATTTATGATAAATATTTTATATTATGAAAAAATATATATTATTTTTAATTGATGATAATTTATTTTAAAATATTAAAATTTAATTCATAAATAAATATGAAAAATAAAAATTAAATTAGATAAAAAAAAAGTAAAAAAATCTTTAAAAATCTTTCTTTCAAAGAAAAATTTCTAATGCTAGATAATTATTCGTATTTAATATAAAATTAAATTAAATTTAGAATACATTACATAGACATAATAATACATTTCTTATACCATACAATGCATAAAAATAAAACATCCCCATTTAAGTAGTTATATACATGATGAGAAATAACGACTAAAGTCCTATATACATACACATGACTGAAAATAAGATATAATATAATATACAAAATACATGGCAGCCAACAAAATATAAATAACACAGTGACCACTCCTCAACTGTGTCTCGACCAAAAGTCTGTTTTCCTACCACGACATCACCTGCTCCTGATCTGCTTACATATCAAAGTATGGTCATTGCAGTCCCAACTACGAGGAAAAACATGCTAGGATAAGCTCACAACAATAATCATCATAAAACAACATCATCATAAAATAAGCGACAATATAGTACAACATGTCAACTTTCAACTTCAACTTGAAATGCAACAAATACATCAACAACAACAACAACATATACAACATCAATAAATGTGTCGTCACACATATACAATTAGGAGATCTTCAACAATTGAGGTTGAGCAGTCTAGGTAACATAAACCCTATCGAATCCAACGTTTAACCTATCTCAACCAGGTCAGGTATAGGGCATCGTTAAGAACTCCGAAGAGAACCAGATATAGACAACAATTGCTCAGGTGTGTCACTCAAACTCAGAGTCTAGTACTATTGTCAAGACAAAAGGGTTTGGGTGTATATCTATTGTAATTATGTTGGGGTAGAGGGTGTCACACTTCTTGTGCTTCATAGATGATTATTCTAGAAAAGCATGGGTTTATTTTCTTTTGGAAAAATCAGAAGCTTTCTACCACTTCAAATGTTTCAAAACACTTGTTGAGAAAGAAAGTGGTATGCTCGTCAAAGTTTTTCGTACAGATAGAGGAGGAGAATTCACTTCTTCAGAATTTAATGAATTCTGTGAGTTAAATGGGATAAAGAGGCAGTTGACCACAACCTATACTCCACAACAAAATGGAGTGGCTGAGCGAAAGAATAGGACTATAATGAATCTTGTGAGATAAATGTTGTCAGAAAAAAATATTCCAAAGATTTTTTGGCCTGAAGCTGTAAAGTGGACAGTATATGTTTTGAATAGATCTCCTACCTTGGCAGTTAAAGGAATGACACCTGAATAAGCATGGAGCGGTGAGAAACCTTGAGTTGAGCATTTTAGAGTATTTGGATGTGTGGGGCATGCACATATTCTGGATGCTAAGAGAACAAAACTAGAGAACAAGAGTATTAAATGTGTTCTTCTTGGTGTCAGTAATGAATCTAAGGGGTACAAGTTGTATGATCCAGTCTTAAAGAAGGTAATAATAAGTCGAGATGTTATTTTTGAGGAAGATAAACAGTGGAATTGGAGCACAAACAACAAAGAAGTTGTACAAGAGGACTTAGAATGGGAGGATAGTGAATTTGCAAACGATGATTGTGAACAAATTGATATCAACACAAATAAAGAAGGAGAAAGAGATGAAACTGATCAGGTTGTCGCTTCAAATAACATAAATCAGAGTGTCACAAGTGGAGAAGGTAGAGTGAGACATGCTCCAAGTTGGATGGATGATTATGTTTCAGGAGAAGGGTTATTGGATGGTGAAGATGTCATTAACATGGCTCAAATTGATAATTCTGATCCCATTTATTTTGAAGAGGCGGTAAAGAGTACTAAGTGGAGACAAGCCATGGAGGTTGAAATCAAAGCAATAGAGAAGAATCACACCTGGGAGCTGGTTGAGTTACCAAAGAATGCAAAAAAAAAATTGGAGTCAAATGGATCTATAAAACCAAACTGAATGAACATGGTGAGGTTGATAAATTTAAAGCACGACTAGTGGCTAAAGGATATTCACAAGAGCATGGAATTGACTACAATGAAGTTTTTGCTCCAGTTGCTAGAATGGATACAGTCAGAATGATTATAGCTCTTGCTGCACAAAGAGGATGGAAGATCTTTCAACTGGATGTAAAGTCTGCCTTCCTTCATGGAACCTTGAGTGAGGATGTTTATGTTGAACAACCAAAGGGGTATGAGAAGAAAGGAAGTGAGCATATGGTGTATAAACTGCACAAGGCTTTATACGGCCTAAAACAAGCACCACGAGCTTGGTTTAGTCGCATTGAGTCTTATTTTGTTACTGCAGGTTTTCAGAAAAGTCAGAATGAGCAGACACTTTTCTTCAAACGGAGCAAACTTGGTAAAATTCTCATCATCAGTGTTTATGTAGATGATCTCATATACACGAGAGATGATGAACTTATGATGGAAGACTTTAAGAGGTCTATGCATAGAGAATTTGACATGACAGATTTGGGAATGATGAGGTTTTTCTTAGGAATTGAAGTACTGCAGTGTTCAGATGGAATTTACATATGCCAAAAGAAATATGCTCTAGAGATTCTTAGGCGATTTGGAATGGAAGAAAGTAATCCAGTATGCAATCCTATTGTGCCTGGTTACAAATTATGCAGAGATGAAGAAGGAATCAAGGTAAATGAAACTCATTTCAAACAAATGGTGGGCAGCTTGATGTACATTACAACCACTCGACCAGATTTGATGTTTGTGGTAAGCTTAATTAGCAGGTATATGTCTCAGCCAACAGAAATGCATGCTAAAGTGGCTAAAAGGATTCTTAGGTACTTAAAAGGGACTGAGAATTATGGAATTCTGTATAAAAGGGGAGGAATTGAGGAATTGCTAGCCTACACTGATAGTGACTATGCTGGAGATTTGGAAGACAGGAAAAGCACCTCAGGATACGTGTTTATAATGAGTGGAGGCTCAGTTTCTTGGTCATCTCGAAAGCAACCAATTGTTACTCTATCCACAACAGAAGTCGAGTTTATTGCAGCAGCAGGGTGTGCCTATCAAGCAGTATGGATGAGAAGAGTTCTGAAGGAGCTGGGTTATAAGCAAGAAGGAAGCACAGTGATAAAATGTGACAATTGCTCTACTATAAACTTGTCCAAAAATCCAGTTATGCATGGGAGGAGTAAGCACATAGATGTGAGGTTTCACTTCCTCAGGGATCTTACTAAAAATAATGAAATTGAGCTTGTCCATTGTGGAACACAAGATCAAGTAGCTGATGTGATGACCAAACCTTTAAAGTTGGACTCATTTCAGAAACTTCGAGTACAGCTTGGAATGTGTGAAGTTCCAAAATTAAACAAAGTGCATGACTGCAATTAGTTTAAGGGAGGATTTGTTGAGTTTAATATATTATCTTATCTTTAGGATTATGTTTCAGGATATTTAGGAGTTTATCTATTTTTGTTTAATTATCTCTCTAGTATTATCTTTCTGTTTTCCTGCTTCTGTTATATGCCTATTTAAAGGCTTGATTATTCTTCAATAAAGGTATTCATTCTCCAATTTGTTTAGAACCTGTTCTTGATCTTTACACTAACTTTTATTGATTGGTTGTTCTACTTTTTTTTTCTTTTCAATTTCATCAGAAGTTTGTAAAATATTTAAAAATAGATAAAGATAGGAGTAAAATTGCCCAAATAATAGTATTATCTCAAACTTTTAAAATGGCAGATAAACCCGAATTTTTTTTAAAAAAAATTCGACACTTTATAAATGTACGATTATAAATATAACAATAACTCAGCAAGTGAGAAACACCATCAGTATTTACGACACTCGAGCATAAGCAACGATCAACAAATAAGCTAAAAGCATAAATAGAAGACCAACGGGTTTTCTCTTTTTATTCTCAAATTCTCAATACAAAAGTGGGATCGAATAAGCAGCACAATGGAAAAGCTGTTCAATTCATGGCATCTTCCTATCTAAACTCAAGCTTTGCCGTCAATTAACCTGAAACACCACTTTTAAACCGAAAGAAGTAATACAAGCAACTAAAATTCTAAATTTACATTTAGTCAGTGCAAATTCATTACAAAACCAAAGGTGAAGAAAAAAGAAAAAGAAAAAGAAAAAGGCCATATATGTAAAAAAAACTTGATGATTTCTACCTCAGCTATCAACTTCTGTAATGGTAGTTCTAGCCCCCAGTCATCTCAATTTAATCTGAATATTATGATTGCACAGCTTTATTTTGTTTGATACAAGCCGGTGCTTTGAACTCCTGGCATTTGCATGTTGATGTAGCTTCAATTGGCATCACTCTTTCAGTCGATGGCTCCATCGGAAACAAAGGTATATTACTAACAGGATGATTGCTAGTGTGCATCTCACTCAATGAAGCATTTCTAGCTCTCACGCCTTCCTTTGGCTGTGCCCTATCTTTTGAGGTGCAAATGCTCAAGGGCAACTTCTTTAGCTTCACCCTCCCTCTCTTCTTACCCACGGGAGACAAATCTTCTGAGTTTTTCTCCTTTGACTGGCTTGACTCTGCTTCCCCATTTTGTCTCTCCATTTGGCTAGATCTATCATATCTGTATCCCTTCTTATCTTCCTTGCTTGAGCACACTTCTTGGATGGAGTCTTCAGAATCAACCTTTCCCATCACTGCATGCCCATTGTTCAAAGATAAGCAATCCTGCCCCAATGCCACGCGGGCATCAGAAACCTCAGTCATTTCAAAACTCGAAGAGTTCTTAGGCTTCTTGTGTTTACTTCCTTTTGAGTCTGAATTTGGAGAATGCTTTGAGATTCTAGGAGAACTGTTCATGGCTCGATGCAACTTCCGGGCCAATTCTTCATCCGTCCCACAATTTTCAATTGGTTGGTATTTTTTATACAACAGATGAACTGGGAGATGCTTCTTGAGCTTATTCTTCTTCAGATTTCTTTCCTTGCTGCTCACTGCCTCTTCAGAGAAAGAGGCAACCAAATCCAAAGCCCTCTTGGCAGCTGCAACTGCCTTTGCTGCAATCTCAGCCTTTTCTTCAGCCGCAGCTCTTGCAGCCTTTGCAGCTTTAGCTGCAGTAACTGCTGCAGCTTTTGAAGCCTCAACAACCTCCTCAGGGGTAAGGTTAGGGTTATTCGAACGAGAACCCAACAAATTCTTAAGCCTGGCTTCAAACTCACCGGAATAGGAAGATGGGGATGAGGAAGCAGCCTCGGAAACTGTAACACACGAAGCAACAACCAAAGATGGTGATGGCGATGCGGCAGCATCACCATCTGAACTCTGTTTTTTCAATCCAGCAAGAAGACGCTTCCGAGGAGGCAAAAGAACATCAGCATCCAAATGATTAACATCACACACGTTCTCCATACTCCTCTAGTAAATCCAATTCAATGCTTCCCAGAAAACAATTAATAAATCTCCAGAATTAAATTCCAAATCTATTCACAATCAAACATTTCTCTCTTATTTGCCGATCTAACTCGCAAACCGACTCCACATCAGCGATCAAACAAAAAATTTGAAGCAAAAAAAAAAAAAAAACTACAAGATTCTCAACAAACCCTACGATGCCCTAGCCAAGGTGGTGATGCTTTGTTCTGACATCAGGAAATGGAAATTCAACTCATCACCATCATATTCTTCCATCCCAACGCTTCGGCTCCTAACAAAAAAAAAAGAAGCAAAATCAAAATCTAGCAAAATCGATTCAATTTATCTCAATTACGAAAACGGAAATAACAGAAGGATAATCGTCAATCCTCGGGAAACCAAACACAGCGTGCACGTGAATGCATAATTCAGCAAATAACAAAAGCAATTCGAATTCATTCAGAGAGACATATTCGGAGCAGCAAAGTCATGCATAGCAAAGTTCCGTGTTCGTTCACACACACGCTCCAATTTCGATACGTTTCCAATTAAATTCAGAAAGCAAATGAATCAACAACTGAATCTGGATTCAACGGAATTTCGGATAACCGATCATAATTCAAGGAAATTGAGGATCGAATTTGGAACCACGGATAAGGAAAGAGGTCCACAAGTACCTGATCCTGTGGAGCACTCAGAGACGAAACGGCGACGTTTGAATTAGGGTTTTCAAGAAGAGAGAAAATAGGTGGTGGAAATGGTGGTGAAGGTGTATAGGAGAAGAAAATCCAGGGCCTGAGTGAGGAAAAATAAGACCAACATTTTTCTTTTTCTTTTTCTTTTTTTCTTTTAATTTCTATTTTTGGTTTTGTGCTGTTTGCATTTTTTTTTCACCAGAAATGTAAGAAAGTGAAAGAATTTGGATTAGTTCTGTTTCCGCACGCACGCAAACACACGCCAATTACTCACTGCTCCCTTTTTTTTTCATTTTTCTAATTTCTGTCAAACTAGGTCACTTGTTGCCTCCATTTTTCAACAACCTTAAATTTTTCATCCTTACTTCTTGCAATTTCCAAAACACGGTTTTCTGCTATTTACTCATCTTGTTCTTTCAGATAACTTCATTTTTTTATTATTTATTTTGTCAGAAATTATTTAATTGAAATGCTGTAAAATCTTATCTATAATAAATTTGTTAATTATTTTAAAATAACCTTGAAGATAGTTTCTGGTTGATAACTTTTCGATAACCGTGTATGACAATTAAAAAATATTTTTGGTAGTTGACATTTGACAAAATTTGGTTTATAACATTTATTGATTTTGTATTGTTTATTTTAACTGTTATTGTTTTGATATTCATTTTGACCAATTTAACGATGACGTCATGATAGATTCATTCAATTCAGAAGGAATATAATGACCCCATTTGCAATATTTCTGTGAACACTCAGCAACAGTAATATTTAGTGCAACACTTTATTTCTCAACAGCAACTTTATACTAGTTGGGTTTTGTTGTCTTAACCAGAATAAATCTAATAGTAAGGTATCACCAAGACACCAACCAACGGAATTGATGCACTCATGCTCTATTTTATTAACCACGTTATTTTATTGTCTTAGAATAGTGGATTTAAACCTAACTCAATCTTACAAAATCAGTTTGTAACGTGATGGTTATTTTCCACTTATATATTATTTAATTGTCTAATTTCTAGTCGATGTGGGACTTGGATTTTTCCCGATACACCCTCCTCACGTTCAATACTATTAGGCTTGGTACGTGGATAAATGGTACGTAATCATTTTTAATGATCTAGGATTAGCGAGACTTGAATACACTCTCTCATGTCCATGGTGTATGTATCAATGAATTGTAGGTGACCCTTTTTTTAATGACTTGGTGGGACTTGAATATATTATTTTTATAAAATTAAAAACATTTGAAGTTGTTTTTTTCTAGTTTGTTGATTAGGTAATTAAATAATATATAAGTGAAAAACAATCTTCATCTTATAAGCTGGTTAAGCCGGTTTTGTAGGGTTGAGTTAGGCTTAATCCACTATTCTAACATGGTATCAGAGCCATTTAGATCCACTTTAAAAATGGGTCACTAAAATGTGATAAGAGTTGAGATAATATATGTAAGATCTTAAGATGAAACTTTGGTGTCCTCATTATTATCATTTCATAATTGGAAGATAAATTTCTTAAAATAAGTGAAATTTGTCCGCAGCAACTCTTTAAGTAAGTATATACATTTCACTTAAATAATTTACTGGGGTAAAAACACAAGCCATTTGGTCCTTTGCGGTGGGATGAAATTGTGTCAATAGTAGTGGCAAGGGCTCAGCCTCACAATCATATTAGTATTTTTCACTTTATACATTATTTGATTCAAGCAAATGCCACTAATGCAAATATATCAACACAGATTCTTTTAATTAATGATGTTGCATTTCAAATAAAGCTATATATCTACAAAATAGTTTCCATGCATGCATTTATCAATTGAAATCGTACGTATTACCATTGGTTATATGTATGTGATTAGTAGTTTTTTTTCTTCTTGGTTTTGTTTTCTGCCTGTATCGTTATGCAATGTCTCAATGAAGATTTTATTTTATTGTTAGGTCATTCTCCACCCTTCACAAAATCGACTACTTAAAATTGAGAGGATGCGAGACTACAAGGGTTTTCTAATTGCTAAATATTTTGTGGGCCTGTGAAGGAGAGGTGTGTTTAGCACTTTGCTGGATTCAGAACCCAACGACGTACTGGCCCATTATCAATTTTTGTCACTTATTAAGTTTTTCAGTGAAATCATATACTAAATTCTTTTATTTTTTGGCCCTCAATTGTCTTGCCCAAACTGAGAATGATGACGATTCAAGTTGAGATTGTTCCCTTCTCTCTGCCATTATGTTAAACTTTTCCATTTCTATTTTAACTTTCTATTTTTTTTTGTTGGTAAAAGTTGTAAAAATGTCTGTGTATGTACAACATTGTTTATAATGATATATTATAAGGTTCGCTTTTGTAATGGTCTTGCAAAATTTAAGGTGCAGTTAAAAACAAAATGTATTTAAGATTTAATGAAACTAGAGAACATTTCATCAAAGCTCTAGTTATAACTTAATAAAGAAAAGCTCTTATAAATATTTATTCATGTGAAGTTACTGGAAAATGGATGTAAACTATTATATTGTGTCTTTAGATTGATAAGTACTAAGATTTATATTTTCTATATCTTAATGAATCAAATCACGAGTTTTAATGAAGGTGCAGCTGACCAAATGGACGATAGTATACATATTATTAATATAAAATATGGGCGTCAGAAATGACTAGCCAGTAGCCACACTAACTTGAACATAAAACTTTAATAATGTTTTAAAGTTATAGCTATGATTGATTAGGGTTTGGTTAATTCATACAAATCAAGTCACATGTAAGTCTTAGCATCATACATTGGAAGATCATTAATCAATGAATGGCGGTTACATCACATGCAGCTTTGAAGTGTGCATATTTATTGTCATATTGCACATTATAATTCAGAGTAGATCCTTTCTTCAACTGGAGAGACAAACAAATTTATAATATAACCGATTTCTTTTTTTATTATTTATTTTTTATTTAGCTATATTCGTTTGTAATTTGTAACCCTACTTAATATATGGGATCAATCTAATATTTCTAAGATTAATTATATCATTATTACAAATAATACTTGACTAATAAAAATTATATTTCAAGACAAAAGGGGAAAAGTATGAATAAAATAAAAAAAATTATAAACCTTCTTTTAAGGGATAAATTTATCAATATATTTGTAGATTGCATCTTCTATGTATTCTAGTTGACAAAGTCCAAATGTAGAAGTAACCGTTATCGAGAAAAACTCAAGTCTCATATCGATTAGAGATTAGGTAATTAAATAATATATAAGTGAAAAACAATCTTCATCTTATAAGCTGGTTAAGCCGGTTTTGTAGGGTTGAGTTAGGCTTAATCCACTATTCTAACATGGTATCAGAGCCATTTAGATCCACTTTAAAAATGGGTCACCCATCATTGATGCATGCCTCATAGGTGTGAGGGGGTGTATTGGGAAAAACCCAAGTCCCGTCAATCCTAGATCATTAAAAAGGGTCACCCACCATTTATCCACGTACCAAGCCCAATAGTGCTGGACGTGAGGAGGTGTATTGAGAAAAACTCAAGTCTCACATCGACTAGAGATTAGACAATTGAATAAAATATAAGTGGAAAGCAACCCTCACTTTATAAGCCGGTTAATAAATAATTTATATTATAATATAAGATTATTTTTATTTATAGATGAATTTATTTTAAAATATTAAAATTTAATTCATAAATCATTATGATAAGTAAAAATTAAATCAGATAAAAAATAAAAATATTCTCATAAAATAATCATTCATATTTAATATTTTATTGATTTAGCAAAATTATCCGTTAAAATAATTGATAAACATAATAATAAAAAATATACCTGTTTATACTTTCATAAAAAAAAACTAATTGGTGTATTGATAAAATAGTTTTGGGTAATCAAAATTTTAATTTTTAATTCATTTGAATTCTTATATTTTTTATTTAGAGATCGATTATTTTGGTTACATTTATAATTTCAACTATTATATTTTTCATATTGTATATATCATGTTTATAATACTATTATATTTTGGTGAAACAAGTTTTTTCACTTTAAAAAATTGTTTACGGAACTTTTAATACGATGATAACAGTTGTTCAGTTAATAAAAAAAGTTAGAAATAGTCACTCACACACTTTCTTTAATACATCTTTCTTGATTGAAATCTATTAAAATTATAATATATATATATATATTAACATAATATGTACAATTTTAATTATACTAAAATATAAATAATTTAATTATTTTCAAATTATTGTTAACAAAATTTGACATTAACAAACAAGATAATATAAAGTTATAATTCAATGGTTGAATCAACAAAATTCATCATATTTATTATAAAGTTATTGAATAGTATAATAATTAGTAAAAGTACGTCAATATCATTTGATCTCTCTCCAACTTTATAAGCCGGTTAAGCCAGTTTTGTAGGGTTGAGTTAGGCTTAATCCACTATTCTAACAACCGTGTTGTTTTGGAGTATGAAGATATTAAATAATACTTAATAATCTATATAAAACTCACATGCAAACATTCTCAAGGATCAAGTTGTTTAAATCGAAAAGTAAAAAAGCCAGGGTTTTTTTTAATAGTTTTCCTACGCAATTTTACCAAAATGAATATTGCTTATTACCTATGGACATCTACGAAATTCTGCTGAATAATATGTACATATAACTATTGTTTTACCCGTATTGCAAACAAGAGTTATTAACTAGTTATTTCTTTCTCCTCATGTCATCAGGTGGTGTTTTCTTTAATAAATATTAAAATGATTTTTTTCACTAAAAGTATTTTATTTTTTTAAAATTTGAATTTTTTTGTATATTTATTTTTATATAATAAAATAAATTTTTATTATTAACAATAAAAATATATCTTAATTATATTATATTACGAGCTTAACTACACTCTTAGTTTTGAATTTAATTTTGTGTGTTTTTAGTCTCTTATTTTTTTTAGCTAATAAAGTTTTTTCTGTTTTTAAAATTAAGTAAAATTGGAGCTGGTTGATTTGTTTCTAATTAAAAACCCTTAAAGTATTATCTTTTGTCCAAATATTTGAAAGTTTATATTTCTACGGGCATTTTTTTTAAATGTTTTTAATGTTTTTTTCTCTATTTTTTTTATAAAATTTCTTCTATATATATTTTTGAAATTAAAAAAAAAAATAACACAGTGAATAGGATGGACCTAATTATAATGAGTTTGAATACTTTATACAAG